AGTCATACAAGAGCCTTAGGTTTAAAGGCTTGCATAAAGTACATAGTTAAATACCCGTCCCCACTGAGGTTAAGTTGACTCAACCTGTCCTAAAATAGTAACCTAGTTCTAAGAATCTCATATCACGGATCTTTCTCGCAGGCTTTATTTTAGCACTGAAACCGGCTTGCCACCAAAATGTACCGTAAGTCGAATCTCAATGAGCGTAGCATCGAGTATCAACAAACTTTGGACTTCACCAAAGCCGGATATCTCACTACTTTCTAATGGCCAAGATGGATCAATTAAGGTTCTAAAAGTAAGTTAGTGTTAGCGATACCACACAAAAGCCTAATGTTATCCTTGACTGACTCAAGGAACATCAGTACAAACCAAAGTGTCACACTAACTATAGCTATCATGTTAACCATATCAGTACACACCGTATAGTCTTTATGATCTATTGTTACTTACCTAAGGAATCATTAGATCCGGGTGTAGGATCTTATGAGCAATAATACCCATGCATGAACCCTTAAAGTAAAGCAGACAAAACATACAATAAAAGCAAGTAAAGTGATATAACTCTTAAGGTAACCCCTTTTTTATATTTTTCCCCAGTAGAGTAGCCAATTCTGTAATACGATGAGAAAACTGACTTTTTGGTTTTATCGCAAATGTTGCGGTTAGCAAGAGTCGCCACCGACTTTTCTTTTATTCAATATTTAGGAAAGGTGAAATAAACAGGAAAGACCTTTGATAGATCCTGAGTTCGGGGGGTAAGTTATGAAAAGGGAAGGTGTTAGCACCCTTTTCATCCGTAGTTATCTACGGGCTCTTAATTGCTTAACTCACTTTTAAAACATGCTTTGTGTGTGTGTGACTTGTTTGAAAATATTATGAAATGCCAATGTAAGGATAACTTTGTAATAATCCTTGTGTCGGTCCTCAAGAATGTATACAAAGTGTTTTTTTGAAAATATTTGTTTGAAAGTGTAGTGTGGGAAATGTTTTGTTTGTGAAAAAGGTTGTGAGCAAGCATTCAAGAGTTCTTACCCACTAAAGTCTTTCTTGTTATTTTCCTTCTCCTTTGAAGATAGTATTATCCATACCATTAGTTGATAGTTAATCCTATCTATTAGATGTGAAGGAACAAACATAGGGTCATCGTATGGTCATCGAAGGCAACATGTAAGGATACTTTAGCAATTGTATCAAAAGGACTATCATCATTTTGCTCGTAGGGTCATCGAAGGGACTAGATCATTTTATAAGCTACTCAGCGGGTCATCGAGGTACTATGATCTTTATTCGAAAGGGATCATGATGATATTGTATATCGAGGGTCCTTTGCTAAAGTATCCCTACTTTTGAGGGACATGACCAATATTCGTAAGGCAACAAGAGAGGTTACCCTAGAGATGCAAGTGTGAAGAGTATGTTGGTTTCAGTTATGTTAATCTTGAAAATTAGGGTTTTCTAGATTTGCTTTTAGTCTTTTCATACAAATCCTAATTACTAACAATTATAAAATATAACATACGGAAAGTAAACCTAAGCTATTACATCCTGTGAGTAGTTACATAATAGGAAAAATGCGAGAAAAGATAAATCTACGCTATTACATTGGTGAGGCGGCCTATACACTTTTTTAGGAAATTAAATAGAAAAAAGAAATAAAAAAATGTTAGAAAAATGTTTAAGTGGTTTTGTGTTTTTACGAAAAATGATTTAGGGTTAGGGATGATAATTAAATCTAACAACTAATTAATTAAGTTAATTAAAAAAACTAAAACCCTAATTAGAAACCATAACGTCTAATTAATTAAGAAGAATTGTTTATCTAAACCCTAAAACTAATTAATTTTAATTAAAACCTAAGATCTAATTAATTAATTAATTAATTAAAAGCCAAACCTTAATTATAGTTAATAAAAAAAAGACTAATTTGGTTAAGGGTTAATGTTTAATGACTTAAGGTTAATTAGTTAAAAATAATAAGAAAATGAAATAAAAACTAGGGTTAGTAAAAATTGAAAAACAAATGCATGGGGTGAGAGTTGAACCCACACCCTTCCTTTCACCAGTATGCCCTTCTACCACTTCTCCATAGTGTTGATTTTGTTTATGAATGAGAATGAATCAATATATTATAAACCCTGTGCGCTATCCTGAAAAACAAAAGAAATTGACAAAAGCTGGGATCAAACCCACGTCCTTTGTAATATCGGTCATCACTCTTACCACTCGTTCACTTGTTGTTGCACGTTCATAACATAAGAACTAAATATTATATAGTAAACATGAGTATTAAAATCAGAAATCAAATAAAACTAAAAACACACGTTTGATGTGGGGCCATGTTTTTTGAATGGACCAATAGGAGAATGCCACGCCTCGGTCGCCTGAGTCAGGAGAGTCAAACCACCATGGAGGGTGGTCAACTTCATCTTCTTCGGTGAGGAGATTTTGAAAACCTGCAAAATAAGAAAAATTGAAACACAAGATGAACCATATCCCCCTAATTTTACCCTTGTGAGTCCAATGAAAGCATTGATTTGACCTGAAAATGCTTGTAGAGTGAGTTTTAAAGAAAATATCTCAAACTGCCCTAACAATGGCAGATCTCCATTCTTGCATCAATCCTCACAAGTAATACATCAAAATAGTTCCACACATCAATATGAACATGAATGTGTGCATAAAGTTCATTTAAATTGCATGAATTAAAAGTTTGAAATTCAAGAATGTTACCAAACCGATGATACTTGGTTGTGATGATCTGGGATGCTACGAGCTTCAATAATGATTGGGATAAACTCCTGGGACCTTTAGGAATCTAGCGTGATGCTTGAAATCGACTGAGAATAGATGGAGATAAGGGTTTGAGTTTGCCCTAGTTCTTGAAAATTTGAGATTTTTTAGAGTTTGTTCTTGATGCAGCCTTGCGTGTTCTCCTTGGTCTGAATGTGTCCTCTATTTATAACGCTTGAATTAGGTTAACAAACATGAAAAGGATCTTGTGCAATCATGATCAAATATTTGATTTGAATTTTGCATGGAAAGTTTCTCTTTTAGGCCAAATCAAATACTCACGATCCAACGCAGTTTCTCCAACATGATTATGTGATTTTGCACTTATGATTTGATTCAAAAACAGATCCACACGCCTTGTATCATTTATTTGGTTTTTTATTTGATTTATTTTGCTTTTAATTGAATAAAATCAAAATAATAAAAAATAAAAACCACAAACATATATGACTTGGTTTAGAGGTCTATGAGGTTATGAACACATTTGAACCTAAAAACTTAGGCCCATTATCCCAAAAATTCAAGTTTTCTCAATTTGCACTTCATGCATAATTTTCTCAAAATTGCTCAATTTGAACCAACCATAACTCTCTCAATTTTTTTTATATGAAGATGATATGAGACTTTTTGGAAACTTTAAAATGTCTCCTACAACTTTCATGTTGGATATTTTTTCTTTTGAAGTCTTTAAATTGATGTAAATTGCTTTGACAAAAGATGCCTTTTTGTTGACTTTCAAAATGACCTGTAATGTTTTGGCTCATATCTCTCAAATGAGGCATTTTTGGCTTTGAGCTTAGAGATACAAAGTTATAGAGAATTGAATCTAATTCAAGATGAACTTTGGTTGAGAAATTTCGGATGAAGTATGTGAAAGTTATGCTTGGTCAAAGTTCAGTTGACTTTTCCTAAAAAAAACCCTAATTTAGTAACTTTTGACTTTTGATGAATCTTGAGTTTTCTTGATGAATCATAATCAAAACTTGATCAAATGATGAATATGAGTTCAAAATCTTGATGTTGACCAAAAATCTTAAAGTTTGACTGTAAATTGGTCAAAGTTGACTTTTTATCCAATACAGTTGATTTTCAATCATCTGCCTAATTGACTGAGCAAACTTGTGATGTAAGGCTTGAAATTTGGTATGAGGGTACCTTGAGACATATGAGAAACCATGAAGTCCATTTGAGGTATTAGAAACTCAATTTCCTTTAAGAGAAACAAAACCCTAGTTGTAAGTTAATTGCTTAGGAGTAGAGTTTATCTAGTCAACTCTTGAATAGTCTTGAGTGAATGAGACATTCATGAACTTGAAGAGATATCTTGAATTAATTTATCTTAAAAATAGAAAGAAAATTTTTAGAGTACAAGACCTTACAAGTACCTTTTTTAGCAAGATGATTAACACCTGGTATGATCACTAGTCAACCTGCAACTATTTTGTTTTCTTGTAATGTATATCTTACAATCATAAAGAATCCCACCATTTTTTTCCAATATACGAAGCTACAATTAGTTCTCACTAACTAAATCAATTTCTCCAATTTCATAAAAGGAAAAAAAATATGAAATACAAATCACTCAATAATAATATAAAGATGTTCAAAAAGAAATAAAATCTAGATGAATATAATTGTCAACTATTTTTGTTGCATATCATGCAAAATTATCAACATCTTAACATCAAAGTTATTTAACTAATTTTATAAATTACAATAAATTTAAGTATAAATTAAATATTAATATATGCATCTAAATTATGGAACTCAATGTGAATTATTAAAGAGTTGTGCATTAAAATAAAATAAAATGAATTATTTCAAAATGATAAGTTAACCATTAAAGTTAAAAAAAATAGAATTGTTTTAAAATGATAAGAAAACCAAAACACAAAACACAAATGTTGAGTTAAACCATTGAAGGTGTTTTTATGCAAATTCAACGATCCACATGAAGGGACAGTACTGTCTATTGTAATTTGGAAATCAAACTTTAAATTAGAAAAGTCTTATGTAGAATATGTCTTTTATTTCTGCTTGTTAAGTTTCGAAGAAGACCACACAGCGCGTGTTGACTTGACTTGAAATAAATAAGCTTCAAATAATCATCTTCACTCCATAACTTTATTTTAAATTGAAAAATTATCTCTTCCTTTCCCTTTTTTTACAATTTGCATCAAGAGTTCTTCTACCTTAGTTCCATACCAATGAAGGTTAGTACTTTACCACTCTTTTATTTTTTTTCATAATAGCTACTAAACCAGATTTTCTTTTGCATTTATTTGGTAATCTTAGTTTGAATATCTACTATATTTTATGTGACAGAAAGTTGTGTTAAAGTTAGAGATAAATAAAAACAAAATCAAGAAAAAAGCTATGAAAGCAGTCTTAGGCCTTTCAGGTATTTTTGACTTGAATTATGCTTTTTTTTTTGTTTCATAAAAAAAAAAATCATTTGATCATGTAGCATACTAGCATCAATATCATTGTGTAGGTCTAATTTAAATTTTAGATTATCATTTAAAAAATAATAATATTTAATTTTTAAAATCTTATTAAAGTGTTTTGGATGTGGTTGTTAAATTTTTTTGGAGAATGTATTTGTAATATTGTTGCAGGAGTTGAATCATTTTCAATGGACATGAAAGAGAAGAAATTGACCTTAATAGGAAACATTGATCCTGGAAAAGTAGTGGCTAAGCTAAGAAAGTTTTGTCAAGCTGAAATAATTTCGGTTGGACCAGCTAAAGAGGAAAAGAAAGATGAACCTAAGGATTCAACAAATGTAAATTACATTAACCCGATGTTCTATGGGGCTGATAGCATTGAAGAGAAACTCCATCCTAATAGGTGTGTTATCATGTAAATCTTTTTATATTTATGTATTATAAAATTAAAATAAAATACTGAAAAAAAATGTATATATTTGTGTTGGAAATAATTTATATTTTAGGAATGTCTTGTTGATTAAATTTGTTAGAGGATATTTTAGTATTTTATTATACCATAATATTTGTGTATAAATAACTTAGTAGTAGGTATGTCAATGTGTTCATTCCTCTTTATTTTGTAGTCGTCATTTAATATATTCCTTTTGTCTTTTATCACTCCTTGTGCATCAACAATTGATATCTAAAGTTCTGGTTCGAAATCTACGGGGAAACACGAATAAACAGTGAGGTGTTGTGTGATTGAGAATCATTTTTTCTGATTCTATGGGATTTGAGAAACACTGTGTGTTAGTGAGTTTTGAGTGAACTGCACAAGGTTGAAGATGAACAGAAACAACGATATCTGTTCCAAGCTTCCAGTGTTTGATGGCAAAAACTAGAATCGTTGGAAGATCCAGATTTGTGTGTTGTTCGATTCTCAAGATGTGTTAGATCTTGTCATCGGTGGCTATGCTTTGTTAGCAGCAGACGCGACGGAGGCACAAAAGACAACACAAAAGGCGATAAGGAAGAAAGATCAGAAAATATTGTTGTACATCCATCAGTATGTGTATGCCAATGCGTTTGAGAAGATTGCTGACTCTGAAACACCAAAGATTACGTGGGGCACACTGGTCAGATGTTACGGTGGTGACAAATTAGTGAAGAAGGTGAAGCTCCAGTCTATAAGAAAGCAATATGAGAATCTCAACATGAAGGACAACGAGAAGGTTTCTGAGTACATCTCTAGAGTGGTTCTGATCACTAATGAGATGAAAACTCGTGGAAAAACCCTTTATGAACAAGTAATCATAGAGAAGGTATTGAGATCTTTAACTTCTCAGTTTGATTACATTGTGGTAACAATTTAATATTCCAAAGATCTGAGCACCATGAGAGTTGAAGAGCTAAAAAGTAGTCTAGAGGCGCATAAGTTGCGTATGACTAAGAGAACTTCTGAGAGGGAAGTAGAGCAACAGACTCTGAAAGCAACTTCTAATAAGAAGTATCAGAAGCAGACTTGGTCAGAAGCCAGAAAGAAAACTAATAGTGGTTAAATGTCAGAAGCTTCAATCTCTGATAGACAGATGAATGTCCAGAAGGGAAATGAGAAGTTTAACAAGAAGAATGTTCAGTGTTACTATTGTAAGAACTTTGGTCACAATGCCAAAGATTGCTGGTCAAACAAAGAAAGGAAGTCAAAAGAAGCAAATATAGCCAAATGAGAGTCTGATGGTGAACCAAGGCTATATTTGGCTTCTGAATCTGATGATATGAATTCATCAGAATGGTGGTATATGGACACAGGATGTTCAAACCATCTTACTGGAAATAAGAAATGGTTGGTTGATTTTGACTCTGGGAAGAGTACAAAGATCAGATGTGCTGATGATAAATACCTCAATGCAGAAGGTATGGGAAATGTCAGAGTCATTCTAAATAATGGGAAAGTAGCAGTAATTCATAATGTGTGGTATGCACCTGACATGAAAAGAAATCTGATGAGTGTGGGACAACTGATTGAGAAAGGTTTTTCAATTACCATGAAGGACAGTCTTCTGAAGCTGTATGACTAAAATCAAAAGCTGATTATGGAGTCAAAACAGGGAAAGAACATAACATTTAAGTAGAATGTTAGAACTGCAGACTCTGAATCTCTTAGTGCAACAAGTGTTGTCAAGGAGAGTGAGCTATGGCACAGAAGATTTGGTCATCTGAATTTCAGAAGCTTAGGGCACTGAAATCAAAGAAGCTGGTACATGAAATTCCTACAATTAAGAAGCCCGAGAACTCATGCATGGTGTGCATGGAAGGGAAGAAGACAAGATTTCCATTTGCGTCAGAAGTAGCTCCAAGAGCAAAGTAATCCTTGAGAGTAGTGCATTCTGATGTGTGTGGTCCATTTCCAATAGCATCGATTGGAGGGAATAAATACTTTGTGTCATTTGTTGATGAGTTCACCAGAATTACATGGGTATATGTCATCAAGTTCAAACACGAGGTGTTTGCTGAATTCAAGAAGTTCACACTGAAGGTTGAGAATCAGAGTGGTCGGACTCTGAAGATTCTTAGAATTGATGGTGGTGGTGAGTATAACTCCACAGAGTTCAAAAGGTTCTGTGAGGAAAATGGAATTGAGCATGAGGCTATTGCTCCATATACTCCTTAACACAATGGTCTTGCGAAAAGAAGAAACCGTACTTTGCTTGATATGGTGAGAACCATGCTGAAAGAGAAGAAGCTTCCTCATACTTTGTGGGGAGAAGTTGTTTCCCCTGCATGTTATGTGCTCAAAAAATGTTCAATGAAGAAGCTGAAGGAAATAGTTCCTATTCAGAAGTGGACTGGAGAAAAGTAAAGTGTTAGTCATCTGAAGATGTTTGGTTCTGTATGTTACAAACATGTCCCGGTGTCCTAAAAGGCAAAAGACAAAAGCTGGACGATAGAAGTAAAGTAATTTTACTGGTGGGGTACCACAATACAGGTTCGTATAAACTTTATTATCCAGAAACTAACAAAGTTGAGTTCAGCAGAGACGTCATTGTAAAAGAATCAGAAGTCTGGACTTGGGAAAAGTCTCGTTCTGACTCTGATGAGAGAACTTCTGAAGAAAAGTCAGAAACACATGTTTCTGAAGCTGGTAAAGATTTTGATTCTGAAGACAAGTCTGATGGTGACTCTGACTCTGAAGTAGATTCATAAGGTGAAGATAATTCTAACTCTGACTCTGATGGTGATTCAGACTCTCGGAGTTTTCCAAACTTTAAAGACAATCACAGTTTTAGAGAAAATCCAATTTCTGAAGCAAGAGCTTCTGAAGGGGAAATTTCCGGTGTTCGAGGTTCTTGAAGGAAAATTGCGATCAAAAGCGCAGCGGAATATAAAATTTTCCTTTAGCGATCCTTACGAATGAGCATGGTCAGTGATAGAAATATTTACCTCTTGTGGCGATTCAGAACTTTGATGTTGTGATCACGAGCGTTGATGAAGAACAACGCCTCTACTCAGTCCACACGAACAGATCGCTTCCGGTCACAGTGCTAGCTGATCACGAACGGAAACCTTGAGTGAGAGAGAGAGTCAAAAACGAAAATGCATCAAGTGAAATTTCTTCATCACAAGGGATCTATTTATAGAATCACTCGTGTGGGCTACAAGCTAAAAGCCCAATTAAGGCTATAAGCTAAAAGCCCAATTAAGCTTATGGACACCATACCTTATGATGTACCATATATCACTTATCCACGTGGTACCTTACCATTTTCCGTATTACACTTAAGTGCACCGTACCTTACGGTGTTCCTTATTTATTCTATCTCTCATCAACCTGTCCTTATGTGTGTGACCTTGTAGGTTTTCGCGACGTTGGCAATTATATTAAATCACACATTTAATATAATAAACAGTGAGCGGTATCTAGCAACACATCATTGTTACCCAAGTCACGAAAATATCATGTGATTTGACCAAACCTTTTCCGTGATAATATTTGTGTTGTACAATTACCCTTTTACCCTCATGTCTATATTGAACACAAGGCATACACTGTGTCACCCTTGTCCAGTTCAATATTGGACCCTTAGACATTTATCCTGTTATGCAGGATGAGCAAATTCCATCTAGGTCACTCATGTCCCTTAGCATGCTTTGTGAAGTACCCATCAACCGTCTTTACAGTCATCTAGTTACGGATGACGTTTGATCAGCAATAAAGTACTTGACTCTACATCTAGGGTCCATAGTGGTTTCAGGTCGAAGGGTGGTATACACCATTATCATCATGGGAATAACTTATGACACTTTGCATAACATTCTATGTAGTATTCTCATAGCGGGTCAATCCAGTATAAATATTACTCCTAATATTCATACCTATGTCAAGACTTGATAACTCCTTATCTATGATCCATGAGATGTGATCATCAATCTATCTTCATAATAATCTTAATGCTTTAATGCTATCCCACTTCATATTAAAGCTTGACTACAGATACTTTAAGAATAGTGTCTTATGTTTAATGGGATCTCATGATTAAGTCACACTTAACATTTCATTAAACAAATAAACCATTCTAGGGACTTTATTATTTTGGAAAGCAAACATAATAAAGATATGCCTTTTATTATTAATAAATAATTCGATACAAGTACCAAAAGTATTGGCCTCTAGGGCTTATACCAACAGTTCTAAAGTTCAAATTCAGAGGAAACAAAGAGTCAGAAGCATCCCAAGAAGATTTGCAGAGTTTAATATGCTACAAGTCACTGAAGTAGACTCCAAAGGAGAAGTTATTCAGTGTGCAATGTTAGTAGACTCTGAACCCGTGAGTATGAAAGAGGATCTTAAAGAGCAAGTCTTGTTGCAGGCCATGAAAGAAGAACTTGATGCTATATAGAAAAATAAGACTTAGAAGCTGACAAAACTTCCAAAAGGCAAGAAAGCCATCAACGTCATATGGGTTTTCAAGAAAAAGCTAAAGCCAGATGGATCAATTGGCAAACACAAAGCAAGATTAGTAACAAGATATTTTCTACTGAAGCCTGGGCTGGATTACTCTGAAGTGTTTGCACCTGTAGCGAGACATGTAACAATCAGACTAGTGATTGCAATAGCTGCTAACAAGAATTGCCCTCTGGTGTATTTAGATGTATAATCTACATTTTTGAATGGTCCATTACAAGAAGAGGTATACGTGTCACAACCTCCTGAATTTAAGAAAAATAATCAGGAAGGGGTGGTGTTCAGATTACACAAAGCCTTATATGAATTGAAGCAATCGCCCAGAGCATGGAATCTGAAGATTGATTCATTTTGCAAGGAACATGGGTTTCAAAAGTGTGAGATGGAGTATGGTGTTTATGTTCAACATACTTCAGAAGACAATATGATTCTGATATGTTTGTATGATGATGACATATTGCTAACAGGAAGTTCTGAATAAAAGATAGCTAAGTTCAAGAAGGTTTTGATGAATGAGTTTGAGATGAAAGATCTTGGGAAAATGAATTACTTTCTAGGGATGGAGTTTATGTATTCTAAGAAAGGAATCATTTTGCATCAGATGAAGTATGAACTTGAGCTTCTGAAGAGATTTAAGCTGGAGAATTGCAAAACTGCCATCACACCTGCTGATACGAATCAAAAGTTGGACTCTGATTCCAATTAAGAGGATGTGGATGATAGAACCTTCAAATAATTAGTTGGTTCTCTGAGGTATTTGTGTAATACCAGACCTGATATTTGCTATGCAGTTCGAATGATTAGTAAAATTATGAGTAAACCAAAGTGGTCTCATTACCAAGCTGCTGTCAGGATTTTGAGGTATGTGAAGGGAACTCTGATGTATGGAGTGTTATTTCCTTCTGGAAGAAATCAAATCAGAACTTCTTAGTTTTTCAGACTCTGATTCGTGTGGAGATAAAGTTGATAGAAGAAGTACTTCTGGGTACTTATTCAAATTTTTGAGAGGTCCTATTTCTTGGTGTTCCAAGAAGCAACCTGTTGTTGCACTGTCAATCTGTGAAGCTGAATATATTGCAGGCGCTCTGACTGCATGCCAAGTGTGTGGATTCTGAACTTGTTGTAGGATCCAAAGATCGAGGTAAACAAGCCTTTGAAGTTGATGATTGATAACAAGTCTACAATCAATCTTGCCAAGAACCCAATGCTGCATGAGAGAAGCAAGCATATTGAGACCAAGTATCACTTTCTGAGGAATCAGGTTCAAAGTAGAATATTAGAAGTTGTGCATTGTAGCACTCAAGCAGCTGACAGACGTTCTAACAAAGATTATCAAGACTAATCAATTTCTTCATTTGAGAGATGAAATTGGTGTTGTCAATTTTCTGTAAATATAAATTAAGGGATGACGTTAGAAATAATTTATATTTTGGGAATGTCTTGTTGACTAAGTCTATTAGAGGGTATTTTAGTATTTTTTATTATACTCAAATATTTGTGTATAAATAATCTAGTAGTAGGTAGGCCAATATATTCATTACTCCTTACTTTATAACCGTAATTTAATATATATTTTTTTATCTTTCATCTCTCCTTGTGCACCAACAATTTATCCTTCTTTTTTTGTTTTGTAAAGTAGTATGATGAAGAATAATAATTGTAATATGAAGCTTGATTTTTATATTTTCTTTTTGCACTACATTCTTAACCAATAATATTGATACTCTAAACTTACACTTCAATTCTGTAGTAATTTTTCATTTGACAATCACTACAAAATAAGTTGTGTGTTGCCACGTGACTCCCACGTCGCTAACACCAAATCATGTCACAACTTTATTTTTGCCACGTGAAGAAACACGTCGCTGGAGAGCGCGTGGCAATGTTGTTGCGACATGAGAAACATGTCACAACGTTGCCACGTGAAATTCACGCCGCAACAAACTTTATGGGGTCAAAGGCAGTCAGAGCAGAGCAGAGCTCAGAGCAGGTTTTATATTCACTTTTACATTGTGTTACGACGTGTTTTTCATGTCACTAATTTGTTATGTGGAAAACACGTCGCAACTTATTTTATTTTTTTTAAATTATTTTCTGTTTTAAATATAATAATTCTGATTTAATAATTAATATTATTTTCTGTTTCATTAAATTTATAAATTAAATATTATAATTTATTTATTAAATTCAATATTATAAATCAAATTATCAAAAATAAAACTAAATATATCAAAATATATAAATTAATATACTTAATATAATAAAATTAATAAACTAAAATTTGAATTTAATATTTTTAAATATAAAATATGATTATAAATTTATATTAGTACACAAATAAAAAACTAAATAGAAAATAAAAATAAAACTAAGCAGAAGGATCATTCGAGTCGTCGAAAAAATCGCGAAGAAAGTCATCATTATTTTGGTGGTTATTATTTTAGCCAACATTATTGGGATTTCCACCAAATGCTTGCATAAGTTGTCGCATTTGCTCCTCCATTGGTGGTTATTATGTTATATAATATTTTTTAATTATAAAACCGTTTTTTATTGACATATAATTCAGTTTTTATATAATTTTTTTAATTATAAAATAGTTTTTATTAACATTCTATATATATGATATATAAATATTTTTTATTAACATATAATACAGTTTTTATATATATTTTTTAATTATAAAATCATTTTTATTAACATTCTACATAAAATATAATATTATATTTGTTTTAAAAAAATATATTAACATCAAATATATATTGTTTTTTATAATATTATACTGTTTTTTATATATGCATAATTATAAAAGAGTTTTAAAATAATAACATTAAATATATATGTTTTTTAATTATAAAACAGATTTTATAATAATAACATTAAACAGTTTTTACTAAATATATACATATTAAAACAATTTTTTAAATATGTTTTTATTCAATACAAAAACTATTTTTTTATATATGTTTTTAATCAATACATAAAATATTATATTATATTTGTTTTAAATAAAATATATATTAACATTAAAATTGTTTTTATAAAATTTATATATTATTCTGTTTTTTTGTTTTTGTTTTTTATAATAAATAAATTAAATAAATCAAGATATATAACTTAACATAATATATATTTTTTTTTATTAATAAATATTTATTTATATATATTTTTGTTTTTTAACAAGAAGTACCTATATAATATATATTCTCATTTTTAAAAATTATATTTAATGAAAATTACAATATTATAATTTAACCAAATTCAACCTAAAATCTAACTTAATTCAGAAAATATACCAAATATAAAAAAAAATTCCAAGAAATACCTCTTCTCTTCTAACTCCTTCAATCTTCTTGTCTAACCTTTTTGCAAGCTACTTCTACTATATCAATCTTCTTCTATTCAAAGAAAAATTAAAATAAATTACAATCACATAATACAATAAATAAAAACTTGTAAACAAAATAGAGACAAAATTAAATTAAATTAACCTAAAAAACAAGGATTAATGGAGATTGAAGTTGGATTTTATAAAAAAGAAGAGGTTTTATAATAGAGATTGAGTTGGATTTTATGAAGAAGAAGAGGGTTAATGGAGATTGTGATGGAATGAGAGAGGGAGAGTTGTGTTTGTTAAAAATATACTACTGTCTTGTGCTTGATGTAACGTGATTTAATTAAATATATAAATCATTCAGCGACGTGAAAATCACGCCGCAACTTTGCCACGTGACTTTCACGTCACAACAATGCCAACGGTCATATTCTCTTTCTTCACATGCTTACAAAAGCTGATTATGCCAGTCTAAGTTAATTTGATTTTCCCTCTTAAATGTTGCGACGTGAATACCACGTCACAACTGACTTTTTCAAAATTTCAAAAATCCCTCCATCTGAACGTTAAACCAATTAAAATATTTTATATTATATTTTTACTAGCGATGTGATTCCCACGTCGCAACATATATATTTTTTTAAAACTCAGACAACCATCATGCTTTTTTATTTTATTAATAAAACATGTTACCACGTGATTATCACGTCGCAACTGGCTTTTTTTAACCACATGATAATCACGTGGAAAAAACACGTGGCTGGAGATGATATTTGTTATAGTGAATTGAGTTTTAACAAATGTGTTCTATACGGAATAAATGTCTAGCATAGTGGTGTGAAATAGATCATTAAGCATGTTTTTGTCTTCATATTAATATTATAAGCTTTATTATATTTGTTTTTGTCTTCATATTAATATTATAAGCTTTATTATATATGCGCGCTACAAATAACAATGAGTGTTTTAAATAAGCATGGTAAAAGATCAGTCAACATTTTTCATTTGTGCCACATGTTATGCCTGATTACATTGATAACTTTCATCATAATATATAATATTAAATATTTTTAACACAATAACAACAACAAGAACAATAATAAGAACAAAAACAACAATAACAACAAGAGCGACAATACCAATAACAAAAACAAGAACAAGAACAACAACAACACAATAAAAACAACAACATCAACAACAATGACAACAAGAAAAACAACAATAACAACAAAAACAACAACGATGACAACCACAACTACAAGAAAAACAACAAGAATAACAACAAGAAAAACAACAAGAATAACAATAAATAAATAGAATCGTTAAACAATGACATTTTACCTGACATAACAACAACAACTAAAGTTGCTAAGTTGAAGAAGAGATGATGAAGTTTTGATACTCATTAATAGAAGAAATTTTTTGAGTTTCATTTATGAAAGAAATGATATTTTCAAGATTGGTTTACTGGAGGAATAATGAGTTAGAACAAAGTATGTTCATACTCCTTGAGTTTTGATGATAACAAAGTACTTAAAGAATAATAAGGTATACTAACATTTGTTTAAGTGTGCAGGATCATTAAGCTAGTAATTAACTTGGTTTTAACCCAGTTAAATAGCTTGTAAAGAAGAAGCAAGTAATTCAGATTCTACAAAATCAGAATATGATTTTCAAATAGATCCTAAGTGCCATATTGACTCAGCCTCGGATATACTGGAAACATAATACAACACCTTTTAGTCTGTACTCTGTGTAAAGCTCCTCCATCCTATCAACTTCCAGAATTATCGAGAAGGTAGATTAGTGGTTTTTACAACTTTGTTTACAATTAATTCTAGTTAATTATGTCATTGTTTTTAAGCGCTTTATTTCCCTTTTCCACATTTTATGATTTGGTTGTGTATCTTTAATGTTTTTAGGTTTAGGTAAGCACTCAAGAAGAATCAGAGCAAAAACTAGGGAAAATCGCAAGATTTCAGAAAAGTTTTCTGCATACTCCAGGAGGTATGACACGACCACCCATGTCAGGCAACACTGGCCTTGTCAAGCAACACGACTGCCCATGTCAGGAAACACTGGCTGTGTCATCCTGACATCATGAATTTCCAAAATCTCATAGGTGCAACACGGGCGCCCGTGTTGCCTAACACGACCGGTGTCGGCTTGTGACATTGATTTCAGTATTTTCTCTTATTTTTCTCATGTTTTTGTCTGGAAGGGTGGTTTGGGTATTTCTGATCGAACTAAGTGAATCTTTTCTATTTAGATGAGTTTTCATGATGAATTATGAGACTTTTTGGCAAGCGAAGAATTACACGAGAAAATATTGGAGAAGACAAGAGTTTCGGTGGAAGGAGATTTTCATGAACGAAAGCAATTGAAGATAAAATTTCATCCCAATACTTGTAATGCTTACAATTTATCTTTTGTTATTTTTGAATATTATGAGTTGCTAAGCCCCCTAATTCCAAGGGGTGTCCCTAATTTGATTTTGTAACAACTATGAATTCCTAATTTCAATAATACAATTGTTTTTCATATCCAATTTAATTGTACAAGGTTTTTATTAATTTCTTTGCCGAACCAATAAGGACTGATTTATGATTAACAACCAACTGGACCGCGGTTGTTAAGGTTTTTGTACGATTAGACTATAGTAGATATCACCTAAGACTACGGATACCCTATATGTTACCGATTAATTCTTGATAAAACCAAGGCATGATTTCATCATAATTCTCTAAGGACTTACGATTTAGGATGAATGTTCAAAGGTTTTCCTACTAAGGACTTAGGGGAAAATAAACTAAAGATCTGGTAGTTGAGTATTTTGAACTTGTTGAAGAAATCAGGATTCAAGATTGTTACAGGGAAAATCATACACTTTACCCTTTCATGTTACTTATATATGTCAAAACAATCCTTAGCATCTATTTATTTTATTCGCAATCATTTTATTTTACCAAATCAAACCTAAACTATAGTTTTTTAAATTGAACAACAATTCGAACTCTATAATTGTACGCAGTCCTTAAGATCGACATTTGGGGAGATCTCCTCATTATTACTGCAGAGACAAAATAGTACACTTGCTATTTTAACGATCAAAGGTCAACTAGGGTTTTAGCGCAAGGCTCAAGGCTGTTTGACACAATTTCTTCAGTCTACTCCATCATGCTTATGGACACCTTACTTGAGAAAGACACAATGGATAAATGGAATATCTAGAAGTAGAAAATCCCAGCGGTACCTACTCCAACGTCTCTCTCTTGGAAACTACGTCTTTAACAAAGATACTTATGCAAGTAAGCTTCCAACGTCTCTTTTGTTCCCTCTATATAAGGAGCTAAAGATTCAAAGGAATATACACCAATATGCAACACAAACGACACAACAACAGAAAAGATATTATTTGATCTCTAAGATTACATTTATAGTTTTTGTATTGCACATAGACTTGAGATTTCTTACAATTTTATATCTTAGAAATCTCAAAAATAAGGTTTTTGCTTGTGTTGTAATCATTGTACCTCTGATTTTATATCTACTACATCGTGTTGTAATCCTAAACAGTTTGTTTAGAATTTGTAAAAGTATCAAACATTGAGTATGAGCAAGGAAGTCTCTTTCAAGTGTGATTGAGCAAGGAAGTCCTGAAATGTGAGTTTAGGCAAGGAAGTCTTTTTCAGGTGTGATTGAGCAAGGAAGTCCTGAACTGTGAGTTTATGCAAGGAAGTATCTTTTTGGTGTGATTAAGAATAAACTCATGAACTATGAGTTTAGGTAAGGACGTCTCTTTCAGGTGAGCAAGAAGTCTTGAACTGGTGTGTCTTAGCAATTTCTAATAAGGTTCTGATTGAAATTCTGGTAAAGACAACACATGCAAACAAAACTGTCTTAACAACAAATGATGTCGAGACATATGTTGCAACATCTGCAACAAACCAGATCAATCAAGCTGAATATGATACAAAAAATAAAACTAAAGTATGATAAATAACACAATGAGTTGTTAATCTAGTTCAGTACAACATCACCTACTCTGGGGGATACCAAGCTAAGAAGGAAGTCCACTATTAGCAGTATTAATTCAAAGCTAAACTCCCCAGTTTACAACTTCTCGCCTAATCCCTACCCAATGTAACTTCTACCTAAGTGCTCACTAAATATGAGAAATTGCCATCTCACTTCCTAAATCACCTCAGTGATATCTAACAGTCCCAATCCCAGTGACTGCAACAAATACAACTCAATTTAGAAGATAATACTTCAATTACAATAACTCAAACTATTGCTTAAATGTTTCGAGTGAGAGAAATACTCAACTCATTTCCTAAAGGCTTCCGAGTGAGGACAATAACTTGAATAACAGTCAAGCAACAATCAGTCGACCATATAGTATCAAAAGATACATGGGTGACTTACAAACTACACAAGAGACTCTCAAAACCTAAGACTTATGCTTCCCCTAATTTTATAATTGTTGAAAACTTAAAATACATTAGGTTAGGATTCTCCTTTAAATACAACTCTGTAGTCCACGGGCTTAGATATTATGAGTCTAGAAGTTTCTTGATCCATAAGCTGAGTGAAGCACCAATTGTGTAGAAAATCTCCTTAAATCTTGAAACAACCAATACATAGTTCCCTAAATTGTATCAAGGCCCAATTTGATAGCTTTTGCACAGTTGGGGATACAAATATGTTCCAAAATAAATCTTCTTGACCTGCGAAAATCTCTGATATATATTCAAAGGAAAATATAGTAGAATAAAATCAAATATGCCAAGATTTAAAAACCGCAGCGCAATCCTACTGCATAACAAAACAGGATGTCAGAGCATCTTGTTCGACATTTGTTCAGAACCATGTTTTAGCAAAATGTTTCCAATCCACAAAACCATGGTACTAACAATCTCCCCCTTTGGAAATTTTTTGCTAAAATAACCGAAGACCAAATAACATAGGATGAGGAATAAAACCACAGAACGCCAACACAAGTTACATGTTAAACATGTAAACTTTGTACATGAGGAAGAAGATAAATGATACCCCCCTCCCTCAAACACATAACTCCAATACCACCCTGAACTCTCTAGGTGAAGACTGACATGACCCGACCTTAACTCCAAATAACTCAGAGCACATGACACAACCATGCTCATAAATAAGAACACAAGACACAATATAAAACAGAAAGAATCAGATACAAACTATAGAATCATACAAGATGTTAGAATATCCTATGAAACATCCTTGCAAAACAACTGCAAGAACACACTAAAGACTCACATGATGGACAATCATGCTCCCCCTAAAATGTTGCATACAACAAGAAATATCGCTTGACTTAGACCTTGACTTACTAATACCTTTCTCCCTCTTTTTAGACAAAATTGATAAAAACAAGTTGAAAAGAACTTGACAAAAAAGAAGGGAATCAAAACAGGTAAGAATTAATTCAAGACACAAAAATAAATAAATAAAAAGACGCTGACTCAATAAAAACACACATTGTATCAATGGAAAAGAACTCCCTCAACTAGGACAGACCAAAAAAATCCCAAAGAAACAAAGAGTAAGTCTAGGTTTCTCCCCAAATAAAATTAAGACTCAAAACTTGATGCAGGACTGGAAGCATCAACATGACTTAATGGAAACCAACTCCCCAAAGCAGGACTGAATCAAAAACATAAAACATACCTTTTTTTTGTTTTTTAAATATGTACAAGATAGCATTCACCATCTATCTAATTCTCCCTCCTGAGTCAATGAAATTGACATAGTCTTAATCAGTATCTGAGTTTGAATCATGCAAATGAACCTGATTCTTCCACAATGATTTTATTTCCGCCACAGATGTTCTCCCTGTCCAGGATGCTCCAGTTGATGTTACAACATTTTTTGTAATGTTATAACCCAACCTTCTTAGGATCACTGCCCTTATCCTTGTTGGATTCTAGCAGATGAACCTTCTTGACACCAGTATCTTTGGAAGATTTACTCATGTTGAAACATAGTATGTGAGAAACGTGAGGAAGAAAATTATATAAGTACAAGGTGAGTTACTTTGATTGTGACAAAAACCTTTCTTATAAAGATAAATCAATCAATGAAAGCAATATTGGAAGGAGATAAAATCTTCTTTAGAAGTAGTGTAACACTCAACGAGAGAGAGACACACCCCTGTTCAAACTTCCCTCTTTTCAAAACTTTGACTGCTGAAAATGTTACAAAATTTGAAATGATATTCTTCATGCCATTAAACATGCTTCTTCTGAGACTGAATAAAACACAAGGAGGAATATATTTGGCAACCACGACCAAACTGTTACTACCAAAAATTCTCCCACAGTGCAATTCCAAAAATACATCTTGTATACTTAAAATATCTTACACCTCAAGTTATGATAAAATCCTTCCCAAAGCTTCTTAACCAGACCAAGCATGGGAGTGCCAATATTCTGTAGCAAGATCTCTGACATAATGATGACATATCCAACGAATTTATTTTGCAAGTAGAATAAAATCACTGTCCCTTAATTACAGTAGAAAGTCACACTATAATGTCATGACATCCGATTAGACATTGTACCCTTTAAGTAACCAACCCAATATAGAAAACATCTTTCTTCAGCAATGTACCTAATCTTCAAGACATATCATAACTCAATCAGTTTTAATATCAGAGATCATAATATCCCCCAATGATATGATCTTCTTCATACTTGGCAAATAGATTTTTACCCCAAGACTCACAATCATTCAATATTCCATCTCTAAAACATCTGATGATCACAGACCAAAATAAACTCCAAATAATGAACTCCCTCTTAACTGATTCTTGAGAGCTTCCTTATTCATTTCCTTATGGCCCTTTAGAATGTTCCACACACTGGAGTAACAAACTAATGTTATGATGTTCCAACATCTAGTTGAACATCATTACCTTTCTCAATGAACACATCACTGGTCTTAATCCTGAAGTTACACATCACTAAAATTACTTCTCTCAATAAACTAACTCAGAAACATACATTGTTCTCATAAAAGGGTAGATAAGACCCTATGAAGACTTCACATATAACAGATTCACAAAATAAAGCCATATATATCCTTCTATCCACGAGGACATTCACCTTGCATTGAACCAATCCGATCCATAGGACAAGTTCTAGAGCTTCTGCAACTGTATGATGTTGCGCCTTCAGGTGTGACATTTTTTCTTCTTATTTCTTGAACACCAAGTAAAAGGATAAATAACTAAATA